TTGGTGAGACTTCACAAAACTCTCACTTTGGCACTGGGGTGGCACTGGGTCTCCTGGGACCACACAGGAAGAGTGTGGCCAAGTGGGGGCATGAACTGGTGTCTTAGTTAAGTTAGTCACCGTGTAAAGAAATGTTCCCTAAAAAACCAGCTGCTGAAAATGTAGGAAGTGTATCTGCAAATATAAATATATACATAAGGTATATTAAATACATAAATACAGGCACTCACTTCATTTCCATACACTCTGTTCCCTGTGTTGTAAAAGCGAACCTTCCACTACAAAGGAAGGTGGATTTTTGATAAATTTTTCATCTTCTATATTGACTTGCTGTTGCAAAAACATGTAATTTTGCTATATAAAAGGCATTCATTCACTATAGAGTCACGTGGGCCCTCTTTTCTCTTTAAGAGCCAGCGGAAAGAAACACATTATTGCTCACGCTGTGCTGGAAGCTGAAGATTTGCTCTTTGGCTTAACATTTTAGCAGAGCCATGGCTGAAGAGCTGCTGAAAATGTAGGAAGTATATCTGCAAATATAAATATATACATAAGGTATATTAAATACATAAATACAGGCACTCACTTCATTTCCATACACTCTGTTCCCTGTGTTGTAAAAGCGAACCTTCCACTACAAAGGAAGGTGGATTTTTGATAAATTTTTCATCTTCTATATTGACTTGCTGTTGCAAAAACATGTAATTTTGCTATATAAAAGGCATTCATTCACTATAGAGTCACGTGGGCCCTCTTTTCTCTTTAAGAGCCAGCGGAAAGAAACACATTATTGCTCACGCTGTGCTGGAAGCTGAAGATTTGCTCTTTGGCTTAACATTTTAGCAGAGCCATGGCTGAAGAGGGGTTGCTGCAGCAGATCTGGCATCCCTGCCAGCTGGGAAGGTCATGTCAGACAGGACTTGACTCATTATGTGCCACTGAAGCCCCGATGTGCTGCTGATTTAGGAGCAGTGGCGCTCAGCAGGCTGGTACTGTGTGGAGCCAGCTGGGCAGGGTGGTAGGATGGAGAGTACTGAAAGTTCAGGGGTCTTTTTTTCCCCAGCCTTAGCCTGGTTTGGAGCGTGCCTGGCAGGCTCTTGGTGGAGAACAGCATCGCCCCACTGATGCTTTGTAGGTGATATGGAGCTCAGACAGCTCCTCCCCTGGGGTGTGCGGGCAATAATCCTGTAATTATAAATTAATCTTGGGTAACGGCATGTTAATGAGGATGGGGAAAAGGTGATGCTCTCGGGGTGGGCCTTCCCACTGCTTGGAGAAGGAGGGGTGCTGTACACAGCTGCTGCACCTCGGGGGTGAAAAAAATGGCATCAAAGTGAGAGTTGTGTGTAAAGCACCCCAGGAGGAAGGATCACCTTTCTGGCTCTGGGTGTGCTGCTTCCACAGAGTTCACTGTTACTCACACTGACAGTGGTGCCCCTGAGGTACCCACTCCCAGACCTGCTCTTTTGCTCCAGTTCAAGAGCCTTTGTCTCCCTTTTCCTTGTCCACATCTCCTGGGTTGTATCACTTCTAACTTCCCGTCGTGCTGTCCTCTTTATCCATCACCTTTCTGACCCATCACCTCCACCTTCCCCTACTTCCTGCCCTACCAAACCCCCCCATCTCTTCTCTCTAGCCCTCAGCATCTTCTGTCACCCTTGTCCACCTTCTCCTCTTCTCCATCTCCCGTGAAGGCCTCCTGTATTTTCACGAGTGTCAGCCTGGGGGGACAGGAAGGACAGTGCCTGTGGAGGAGGTTGTGCTCCCCCATCTAATAACATATGTATCAGACACCTTTCCCTTGAGATGGCAGCCTCTGGAAGCCCAAGACGAACCTTTCAACAAGATTAAAGAGATGGTATTAATTGCTATCGATCATGGGTCAACAAATTAAATTGCATCTGCAACTGCATCTTGGAAAGGTCTAAATGAGAAGAGTAGTTAATGGGTCTGGCTGGCCCAGAGCTGTGATTAATTAAAGGGAGAAATGAACTAAAACATAAAAAAAAAATAAAAAAATAAAAGGCAGAATAGAAGGAGATTGAGATGAGGCTGAAACTCTTTGGTTTGGAATAAAAATAGCGTGTGTGGAGAGAGCTCATTGGGATTTCAATTCTAGGTCCACCCTGTCTGGCCTGAGATGGGCTGCTACAAAGCAGTCCTGGCAGCGATGAGTTTTGAGGCGATTGCTCCGAGTGCCCCAGGTGCTGTGGAAATGCTGCCCACCAGCGACCGGTGAGTCTCCCACCCACACCCCCAGAAAAGCCAATCTGTGGCCATCGCTCCTCCCCGTGACCCCAGACCTTCTCCTGCTGCCACCTTGGCGCTCGGGGAGAGCAGCGGGACCCCTCGGCAGGATTTGGGTGAAATGGATCCCTTCTACACTCAGCACCTTGTGGACACCTCACAGAAATGTCCACGATGGGATCTGCAGGGCTTCCTCCTCATTTAATCCAAACGCATTGCAGCTCACTGTTATGTGGTCCTTGGGGTGTCCCTCTGCCATCACCTTTTCTTTTCCCACATTTGTTTTTTAAATTTTTTTTAAACTTTTTTTTTTTAAATTGAATTTAAAATTACTTTTACATTTTTAAGTTACTCACTGCCCTGAAAGGGTGAAGGGAAAAAACCCTGAGCATCCCTACGTTGCTGAGCAATCCCACTCACTGCTACTGCTCTTCCGGCTGCGGTCCTGCGTGGCAGCCAGCACCACAGCATCCTGGTGGGAATAAAATATTCCTGGGGGTGGGAATAAGGGCACTGCTGTGACTCCTTGGGAAATAACGAAGTAGCACAGCGTGGAATGGAGATGGTGCTTAATTAATAATGAGGAAAATAATAATAGGTGGCACGTATCGTGCTGTACTTGTTCCAAGCACTGTACAAACATTAACTACAGTAATTAAGCTGTAATTAATTAGAGTAACTACTAATCAGTGTAAATAATGATGCATCTGGAGGTACCAAATGGAATTTGTGAACTGAAAGCAGATTTCCATGTTCGGGAAATGGCATCAAATATAAAATGGCACCAGAAAAAGGCCAAAACATACGGAGGTGAAAGCGAGAGCCTGGGAGTTGTGTTGGTCTGCGATGGCTCCCCAGAAGGGAATCTCAGTTTGGCAGGTCTCCTGCCACAAACCAAAGCTCATTTGCTGATTTACTGCTGAGGAGCTCCCCGGGCAACCCATCCCAACCATCGGACTTTTGCAGACAATTTCCAGGCTCCAAGCTGGCTCCTCCCACCCCAGCTCCATCGCTTCACTCACCAGCACTGGAGGGAGTTGGGGGCTGGAGGGAGGGATGGGATGGGGAACGGGGAGCTTGTGGGGAGAAGATTAGCAGAGTAAAATACACCACAAATATATAATTTTGGGTTGGTTTTTTTTTCCTGGTTCACACACTTTATATTTAACAAAATAATTTTTTAATAATATAGTCTTTTACACATCAAATATCATTTCTAGACACCCACCCCCACCCTCCCATTTTTTACAGAATAGTTTTGTGTTTGTTTTTTTTTTTCTCACTAGTTTCAGGCACACTATTGTTGGAAAATTTTGAAACCAGATAGTCATTGATAGGCAACAGCTTGCAAGGAAATGCGGCGACGGCTTCTTTTAATGGTACCAGTTGAACTTGCAGGAAGCTGTTGCTCAGCCCAGGTATGGCGATGGCTGTGCTAGTGCTTGTCCTACCCCCTGCCCTCCAGTAAATGTGGAAAAAAAACAGGGAAGAAATAGAAATATAAAGGCAACAGTGTGCATAAACCGAGACTGGCCGTGCCCATCTGCTTTGGTGGAGGATGCTGTAAGGACGATGTGCTGCCATCGCTGTTAAAAGCAGGTGATGGACTGAAGGCTGAACAAAATAAGCACCATCACTAATGGCTGTGACCAAAAAACTAGGCAAACTAAGCATGGTGGGAAAGGTTCCTGCGCTCACCTGGGCAGGAAAAGAGCAGGGAAATGACATTGGTGGCTTTTCTCTCACAGTATCGCTTGGAAGGTGCAGCCTGAGGAAGCAAGAGATGCCAGAGAGCCCGAAGGGGACCCTCAGCTGCTGGCAGGGACCATGGGGACCTCTCCTCCTGACAGGTAGGCACGTGGCTGTTTTTCCACCAGGAATTCCCATGGATATGGCCAGCCAGCCCTCTGTACATCCTGGCGTGCTTCACTCCCAGCAGTACGGATGCTCCGGGGACTGGAGGAGAGGGTCGTAACACTTCAGCAAAGGGTCTTACCTGCCAGCTGAGCTGGTGGCACAGTGATGGGACATTTCTGGAAACCTCCCTAAGGGTGATGGGCAGAAAAGGGAGGGGGATCAGATATTTTAATTTTGACTCACAGCAGCCGAGTCCTCCTGTCACTGAGGTGAATGAACCAGTGATGGGGTGAGGCCCTAGAGCCAGCAGAGCCACAGCATCGCTGGTACCCTCTTCCCTTCCACCACCAGCCCCCCAGCTGGGCATCACACAGAGACAAGGGTGTCTTTCCAGCACTTTCTCTCTGTCTGTCCCTGCCTGCCCGCGCAGCCGCTGTTGGCTCTGATCAAGGTGACGGTGACTGTGTCGGTCTCTTCAACTTTATTGCCCCCACTCAGTGGAGAAAGTGTAACACAGATACAGCTTGTGTCTTGGGTGTCTGGCCATATACCTGTGCATCTACCTCCCTCCTTCTGCAGGTCACATTCCAGTTGAGTTGGTTTTTTTTAACCCCTTCCTCCCCTTTTCATTTCTAGCCCCCCTCCTGTCCTTACTGCCCCCACCCCCCCTTATAGATAAGGATGAAAACGATCCATCGCTTCACTTAGAGCTGTATTGCCCCAGCGATCCCAGCTTAGGAAGAGGCTTTAAAAAACAAAACAAAGCATAATAGCAAAAAAACCTTAAATAAATAAACGTGAAAACCCCCCAATCCGCGCTGTAGAAAGTAAGAGGGGCGAATCAATCGGCGTCTCAGAGGTGTCACAGGTCCAAGAACTTGTGTGGGCCATTTTGGTTTTTTTTTCCTCCCCAAATGTGACCACCGCAAGCCTACCAAGCACTGATAATTACAAAAAAAAAGCAGAGTAGATACCTAGATACTGGTTACATAGTGTGTAAAGCGAGAGAAGAGCTGAGGGGATGGGAGGAAGGCGGGGGGGAAGAGGGAGACCCCTTCCCCGTGAGTGAAATCTCTGCTTGTGTGACGTCCTGGCAGGTTTTGCTGGTGACCCTGGTGCAGCTGGCGGGAGGTGGAACAAGACGTGCGCAGCGTTGAAGCCGGTCCTTCGTCATCATCGACATCGTTACCGTCGGTGGCGTTTGCCACTGGTGGTGGTGGGGGGGTTTGTTGCCCCTACAGAGCCTGTTTGCCCTGGCACTCGCGCTTGGAGCACTGCGCTGGCTTCCACCAGTCCCCGTTGTGGCAGTGGCAGATGTTGCAGTCGTCCACCTTCACCTCGATGCCAGCGGGAATGATTGTGGTTCCTGCAAAGCAGTTCGGACCTGCAAAAACACCCGTGAGTAATAGAGATAAATACTTTTATTATTATTATTATTAAGTTGGGTGGAGCAGTTCTGCTATAGGTGCCTGGGAACAGGCAGACACTCTGCCCCCAGCCCCTTGCTCTACTCCGGCCAAAATGTCACCTCTGCTGAAATCAGCAGCAACTCCTAGCTCTGCCCCACACTCACCACAGAATCACACGGGGTTGGAAGGGACCTCTGGAGATCATCTAGTCCAACCCCCTGCCAGAGCAGGGCCACCCAGAGCAGGTTGCACAGGAACGTGTCCAGGTGAGTTTGGAATGTCTCCAGAGAAGGAGATCCCACCACCTCCCTGGGCAGCCTCTTCCAGGGCTCTGCCACCCTCACAGGAAAGAGGTTCCTCCTCATGTTGAGGTGGAACTTCTTCTATTCAAGTTTGTGTCCATTTCCTCTTGTCCTGTCCCTGGGCACCACTGAAAAAAGACCAGCCCCATCCTCTTGATACCCTCCCTTTGAGTATTTGTCAGCATTGATCAGATCCCCCCTCAGCCTTCTCTTCTCCAGACTAAAAAGACCCAAGTCCCTCAGCCTCTCCTCATAAGGGAGATGCTCCAGGCCCCTCATCATCTTTGTAGCCCTCTGCTGTCCCCTCTCCAGCAGTTCCCTGTCCTTCTGGAAGTGGGGAGCCCAGAACTGGACCCAGTGCTCCAGATGGGGCCTCACCAGGGCAGAGCAGAGGGGCAGGATGACCCCTCTCTACCTGCTGGTCCCACTCTTCTTGATGCACCCTAGGATGCCATTGGCCTTCTTGGCCACAAGGGCACTATTGCTGGCTCATGGTCATCCTGTTGTCCACCAGGACTCCTAGGTCTTTCTCCTCAGAGGTACTCTCCAGCAGGTCAGCCCCCAACCTGTACAGGTGCAGCACCCTACACTTTGCCTTTATTGAAGTTCATCAGGTTCCTCTCTGCCCATCACTTGTCTCAGGTTTTTTTTCTAGTGCCCTCAGGCACTAAAGAAACAAAGAAAAGGCCTCGAAACTTTCCTTCTATTTTTATGCAGGTGCAGCACCCTACGCTTTGCCTTTATTGAAGTTCATCAGGTTCCTCTCTGCCCATCACTTGTCTCAGGTTTTTTTCTAGTGCCCTCAGGCACTAAAGAACCAAAGAAAAGGCCTTGAAACTTTCCTTCTATTTCTGTACCCAACCACTAATATCATTGGCACCAAATGCCCCATCGATGCACCCAGCTTTTTCTACTCGGTTGCCCACTAATTCAGTATCACTTTCTCCCAAGGTTTGGCTCTGAGATGGACAAGGCCGCGAGGACAAACATCAGGACACAGACCAGCCTTTACTGCTCTACCCTGGTGAGCCTGCACAGATCTGCAGAGACCAGAGCCACCTCATCCCACAGGACACCAGCAGCCGTGCCTGAACGCCCCCGATAACCCCAGCTCCCCCCACCCCGGAGCTCAGGCCAATTAACCTTAAATGATTGATGGCACCAAATTAACGAAGACCATTCACCTCCCAGGTAAGCTTTCTGATAAAATCTATTTTTTCCTCAAGGGCGATTCCTTTCATCTGCTCATTATTGGTAATTTTTCTGGCTGCTTTATTGTCCCAAAGCTGAGCAGCAAACCAAAACAAAGAAAAGGCCTCGAAACTTTCCTTCTATTTCTGTACCCAACCACTAATATCATTGGCACCGAATGCCCATCGATGCACCCAGCTTTTTCTACTCGGTTGCCCACTAATTCAGTATCACTTTCTCCCAAGGTTTGGCTCTGAGATGGACAAGGCCGTGAGGACAAGCATCAGGACACAGACCATCCTTTGCTGCTCTACCCTGGTGAGCCTGCAGAGATCTGCAGAGACCAGAGCCACCTCATCCCACAGGACACCAGCAGCCGTGCCTGAACACCCCCGATAACCCCAGCTCCCCCCACCCTGGAGCTCAGGCCAATTAACCTTAAATGATTGATGGCACCAAATTAACAAAGACCATTCACCTCCCAGGTAAGCTTTCTGATAAAATCTATTTTTTTCTCAAGGGCGATTCCTTTCATCTGCTCATTATTGGTAATTTTTCTGGCTGCTTTATTGTCCCAAAGCTGAGCAGCAAACCAGCAAGTGTCTTATTTTCCTCCTTCTCCTAAAAGCCCAGCGAGTACCCATTGCCCGACTGTCCCTCTGCAAACCCTCTCCTCCTCCTCCTTCTTCTCCTCCCCCTCTCTCGCCCCTGCATTACTTTTAGCACGTGGAATTAATGTCAGAGCCAGCAGCACATGGGGGGGGAAATAAATAATAAAAAAATGAGGGCAGTGGCATTCGTGGCATCAGGGAAGTGTGAAGAGATTTGGGAAGTGTCTCGTGGCTCGGGTGCTGCTCCAAAAATGTCACCCCTCGGCTGGTCACCGGTGTTACTCTGCATCTCTGGGGCTCGAGGTGCAGTCGCAAGAGGAGAGCGTGGACGGGCGTAAAACTACAGGCAAGTTGTAAGTGCTTAAAAATAAGACTGTTCGCAAGAGGAGAGCGTGGACAGGCATAAAACTACAGGCAAGTTGTTAGTGCTTAAACATAAGACTGTTTGAAAGGGAAAATAGATCCCCACGTGGCTGGAAATGGGCTGAGCTGCAGCCAACCCAGCGCTGGGGTTTCACATTTTATAGTCCTAGAGAACTATTAATTTAGTTATTAAATAGTATGTTCATTATACCTGTATATATTTATATTACTATATTAACAATTATTATATATTTATATATTTGTATTGTGTTTCATATATAAATATTATGTCAATGTATCAATATATTAATATTATTATATAATATTGCTATATATTAATATAGAGAATTATGAGAGCAGGACACTACATTTAAGCTCAAGAGGCCACAAGTTTGACAGGGCTGGCCTTAATGAGACACAGGTGGTTCAGGTTACCAAGCCAAATGGTCATTAATGTCCCTGTCCCAGAGCCACAAAGCAGAGAGCAGTGACCACGATGAAAAGAGGAGACGGATAAGGGGGATGTACCAAAAGCATCATCCATGCTTTTGAGGTCCCTGGTGGAGAGGAGATCATTCATTTTGGGGACAGCACCAGAGCAGCAATGTACCTGCCCTGGCTGAGGACATAGAGCAGGTCTGCAAAATAGTAATTAAACATTAATAATCTGCCCCTCTGATCTCTGGCATCTGTCGAGCCAGGAAGGAACTGGCAAGCGCCTCTGTGTCTGAAGGAAAATCCTTGGGATGCTGCCACCCCTCCCAAAGGGGTGAAGGGAAGAGGAAAAATTCACTCTATTTTGGATAAACTGTAGGGACTGAAGACTCTGAGGAACATCAGGGATGGACCAACCAGCCCTGGCTGAAGCAGCACCGAGCATCCCTGGGCTGGCCGGCTAAACATCACCCCAGCACACCTACGGAAGGAGCTCTAGTCAGAGGCTGAACTTAGAGGAAAATTACAGCAAGTGGGTTTGTTTTCTTTTTTCTTGGCTTCTAGCAAAATGGATGAAAACCTGGCTTTGGGTTCTGCTGACATCTGCCCTCCTATGTGATGTTTTGCTGCTGTTCTGGCACATCCATCTCTTCTGTCAGACGCTAGCTCTTTTAATTGAGGCCAACGCTACCACTGTTCTAGACTTCCCCC